AAGGAAGGGAACAGAAAATGCGACTGAAGAATTTGTAGTAGTATGTGTAGTGTAGTAGTTGTATGTGTAGTAGTAGAGAATGAATGGGCTGCCTTTGCGAATGGATGAACAAAATGTTTGCTGAAGGATGGAGGGTAAGGTGGCTGCCTATGTTGCCTTGTATGCTTGAATGTATTGACTATACCTAGAATACCGGCGTGTGCTTGATGGTATTGACCACTCAACAACCTAGGGTGGCCAGTCAGGCTTCTTGAAAAAATGTTCAGATTGAGAATGGTATGGTAGTCGTTTATGTATACAATGTGTTCAAGATATGGACCTCATGTAAAAATCGGAATACGTGAGAGTACACTTTCACTGGGTGAATATTTCATCCAGTTCATATAAAAACGAAACGTCGGGTTAAAAATCATTAAACGCCAACTTGTACAGCTAGAAAAATGGCATTGAGAAATTGTTTTTGACTTTTTATTAATTTCGTTTTGATAACTACAGAAAAATGAAACGAAATTGGCGATATTTGGACATTTTCGAATATCTCCGGAACCAATTAAAATTTCCAAAATTTCAAAACGACATTTAAATAAACTCTAGAATCTGCAACTTTTTTCTAATGATGTAGGTACCAAGAAGATATGAAAACGCAATACAACCGCGATACAACTCTGTTATAAACCTAATATCGTAAACTTTATTAGGTCCTCACTTGAAAATGGATTATTGTCGGAACTTTTTTTTATAACTATTTCTTTTTATGATAATCATTTACAATTGTTGATCTGCATAATCTTTTTACGATCAAATTACATACATCAATTATTCAAAATTAGCTTTTACTTTTAAAAAAGATCATCATCCTGTCTATTCTTTATCCTGAAGCTTTGGAATGCCGTACTTTTCGCCAATTCCATTCTCAGACACACCCATGCCACTTCGTTACATGTTTTAATAAAACTAAAAGTAGGGCATGGCGAAGCTGTTTTTTCATTACCCCTATTTCATAGATTTATTGCATTGCTACCACTTTTAACAGTCGTTCATTATTTAATTATGTTATTGCTTACTACTCGTATCGTTTGTGACAGGTTTATACCTATGATAATGACAATGTTCTGTATCTTTTTCTACTCTGTAGTCGTTGGAGAAAATTCGCTGGAAGCTGAAAATATAATCTCCATTGTAAGGTGATATTTGATGTGTCACTGCCAATTGAGGCATTGATCAATCTTCATAGATTATCACTGAAAAGTTATTAATGAGATTTTTCTGCCACTCATATTTCTACGATCCAGAGAAAATCCAATACTTTTTTTCAACTCAACACAATAGAATATATACAATTTTGAGTTCAAAACTGGGATATTATAATATTTATAAACAATTATTACATGAGTTGGGGCCATAATTATTCTTATACTCTTAGGGAGTCGATTTTTGAACTATCTGAATTAGTTGGCCACTGCTTAATATACGAGGTATATTCAAGAAATAACTAAAATTTTCGATATTTGAAAAAAATCTTCGTTTATTCGTCTACATTGATGTTATCCCTTTCAAAATACTTCCCATTAGGTATTATGAACTTGTGCCAGCGCTTCTCCCATCAACGAAACACTTTTCAGATGCATAACGTGGTGCAAAAGCCATGAATTGTTTTCTCACAAATCCGGGAGTTTTTTCGAATTGCACAAATCATTAGTGACTTCTCTGATAGTGATTCGACGGTCTTTAATAACCATATCACACACTTTCTTAGAATTTATTAAATTGGTTATGCAAAATTTGATAAACATTCATTGATCCATTTGAATATTACTGGAGTTTTTTCCCAACACCAAATCGTTATTTTTAACACCTCGACACGTGTTTCGATCACCAAGTGATCATCTTCAAAGAGGAAGATTAATCTTCCTTCCCAACACC